GCCTCCCGTCCTGACTTCTGCACGACGCGAGCAGGCAGGCCTTCGACACGAGGCGCGAAGGAGAGCAGCGTCCCCGCTCGCCCCGTCCCCGCTCGGCCCTCCGGCGCTCCCGCCGCTCGGCCGCCCGGGGTGCCCCCGCGCCCTGCCCGGCCGTAGTTGAGGGCGACGTGGTGCACGATCTGGTCGGCCGTGTCCCGGTGCATCTCGTAGAGGTCTTCGATCTCCCGGCCACGCCCCAGGCTTCGGTGGGGCACGCCCTCCCAGAAGGCGGACCCTGGGCGAAGAATACGGTCGACCAGTTATAGACAGGATGCGCGATGAGGATGCAGGGGCCTTGGACGCCCATTTCGAAGCTTCTCGGGCGGGGCGCGGCCAGCGAAAGCGGCGAAGGATGGACCGAGGAGGCAAGGACGCAGTGGTACCCTTGGGAAGGTTGCCCATCCTTACTATCATGGTTGACTGTTAAGCAAGGCTCAAGACATGCCCTAAGAGATCCAAAAATAGTTTTAAAAAAAATCGTCCTGGGCTATGTTTCCGCTTTTTTGAACATTCCTCCTGCAGAGGGACAGGCCCGACTTAACCCAGCGCGTTCCGATGCGGCCGCCCACCGTCCCCATTCCCACCCGGCTCGCTGTCGACCTCCTCCCTGGACGGCCGAGCGCGCGCGGTTTTCTCGTCCCGCGGGACCGAGGCTGATGAGGTCCACCTCACTCCCCCTCCCGCCTCCCAGTCTCTCCCCCTCCTCCACCTCCTCCTCCTTTTTTTTCTTATTTCTTCTCCTCCTCCTCCTCCTCCTCCTCCTCCTCCTCCTCCTCCTCCTCCTCCTCCTCCTCCTCCTCCTCATCCTTCCTGGTGGATTACGCTGGAAGGTCACGCCAGTGGCATGAGCCAAACATTTCCTCGTGGCGTGGCGTCTGATGTTCCTCAGGATGCTGAGGTCTGGGCGTGGTGTCGAACCATACCCGATCATACCATCCTTGCCCACTTAAACGGCCCTCCCCACCTGCCTCCACTGCTGGAATCTCGTCAAGCGTCCTGGGCGACATCAACTCACGCGTCTTCGCGCGGTCCTGAGTGAATGGATCCACCTGCCCTTGGAGCAATCGCCATGCGGGTATACGTCGACTGATGAAGCATGGGCTCTCCATCATCTGTTACAGAAAAATCCAATATTGTGGAAAGATCGGCGCTGATACGGCTTGCCCGCGCTCGTGGAGCGAGCTCATCCAAGGTTTCCAGCGGTCAACTTTGGCATTCAGCGCTAGTGCCTGACAATGAGCGTCTCCTCCTCCATCCCCTCATGAGCATGAAGGCTCACTGGGACTTCAGGAATGGCTGTGATCTGCCCTCGCTGTGTTCGCCAATCTTCGGCGATGGTCCTGACCTCCATGGGCCTTCTGCCTGGGCCCTCAGATGCGGGTTTTTGTCCGTGTCGGTGCGCCCTGGTGGATCTGCTTGTGCAGCTGCTTCCCGGGCCTATCCTGGACTGCATGTGTCGGCACCCAGGTCCGAATATGCGACGATATTGCTTTTCTTGGTCCATGCTGTTCCCCATCTGGACGTCATGAGTCCTTGGCGATTGCCAGTGGGTTAGTGATACGTGGTCGGCCCCTGAATGCCACTCTGTTTCGGGATGGGCTCATCCAACCCAGCACGAACTCATTTGTGCGTAAGGTGTCTGCTTCTCTCGATAGCATGTCGCCTGCCCAGGCGGCGCGGACGACCTTAGGCAACGAATGCGCCGACTCGTGTGCACGATTAAAGGTTACGTTGCATCCTGGGGATCCAGATGCCATGACACGCCTGTCGCGATCCAATACATGTGTGGAACACGTCGGCACGGTTCCCCGCGGAGCCCTGTGAACTTCCGTGCCCTCCGCTGACGGACCGACTGAACTGAACTGAACTGAACTGCAATGGACTGCACTGAACTGACTGAAGTGGATGGGGCACTTTCGACAATACATTTCAACCCGCCAGGGTGCACCCGCAACCACAGCCAAGCGACACATTCCAACCCGCCCGCGGGCGCAACCGCAACCGCAACCAGGCGACACATGTCAAACCGCCCGCGGGCGCAACCGCAACCGCAACAAGGTGACACATTTCAACCCGCCCGCGGGCGCAACCGCAGCCGCAACCAAACGACACAAGTCAAAACGCCCGCAGGCGCAACCGCAACCGCAACCAGGCGACACATTTCAACCCGCCCGCGGGCGCAACCGCAGCCGCAACCAGGCGACACATTTCAACCCGCCCGAGGGCGCAACCGCACTTGCAGCCGCAACCAAGCGACACATTTCAACCCGCCCGCGGGCGCAACCGCAACCGCCACCAAGTGACACAGTTCAACCCGCCCGCATGCGCAACCGCAACCGCAACCAGGCGACACGGTTCAACCCGACCGCGGGCGCAACCGCAACCGCAACCAAGCGACACATTTCAGCCCCGTGCGAAACCGAAACCGCAAACAAGCGACACATTCCAACCCGCCCGCGGGCGCAACCGCAGCCGCAACAAGGCGACACATTTCAACCCGCCCGCGGGCACAATCGCAGCCGCAACCAGGCGACACTATTCAACCAGCCCGCGGACGCAACCGCAACCGCAACCAAGCGACACATTTCAACCCGCCCGCGGGCGCAACCGCAACCGCAACCAAACGACACAAATTAACCCGCGTGCGCAACCGCAACCGCAACCAGGCGACACACTTCAACCCGCCCGCGGGCGCAACCGCAACCGCCACCAAACGACATATCTCAACCCGCCCGCGGGCGCAACCGCAACCGCAACCAGGCGGCACATTTCAACCCGCCCGCGGGCGCAACCGCAACCGCCAACAAACGACATATTTCAACCCGCCCGCATGCGCAACCGCAACCGCAAACAAGCAACACATTTCAACCCGCCCGCGGGCGCAACCGCAACCGTAACAGCAACCGCAACCGCAACCAGGCAACAAATTTCAATCCGCCCGCAGGCTTCACTGCCCGAGGAGCAAGAGGTGCAACAGCGCGAGGAAGGTTGAGGAGGAAGGAAAGGAAGATGCGGAAGAGAGGGGGCGGGAAGAGGAGGATGGGCAGGACGGTCAGGAGGATGGGAGGGAGCGGGAAGAGGAGGACGACGACGACGAAGATGCAGGCGTGGTCGTGTTTCAGGGGGTTGCAGGAACAGGTGCCGGTGGAGGAGGAAACCCAATGGCACGATAGGAAGGTGGAGCGCCTGAAGGTGAGAAGGAGGAGGATGCCGATGACGAGGACGAGGAGGAGGACGCGTTGCCCGCGGTTCTCCGCCAGGACACTGCAGCGGGGAATCCCCATTCCACGCTGCTGCCTCTGATTATTGCCCACTTGGCCAGCAAGACCCTTGTCAAAGTTGACGGCCTCCCCCGTCCTCAGCTGTCTCCCCCTCCTCCTTACTCACTCTCCCTCGTCCTCTCCTCGGGGAGCGTTGCCTGGGACCTAGATGCCCAGCGTTTCCACTGTGTGGCTTGCCGGTGGTCTGGCCGGCACAAGGAATCACCTGGCCAAACTCCTTCTGCCCCACATGGCACGGGACATGGAGTGAGCAAAAATGGCACTTACAATTTGTTTGAGCTCTACGGGTCGCACTATTCGACAAATCTACCATACGCTTCACGCCAGTACTTGCGAAAAACGATCTCTCGAACGGGCAGCAATCGATTCGGGCGTATGCTACATGGGCTTGATCCCAAAATCAACCTATGATTAGGACATATCGTTTCGGCTACCTTCTGTCTCCCCGTCTGGCGTGGGCCCCGAAACTTGTCCTTACGCGCTTAGCAAGTTATACCAGCCGTTTGTGCCGCCTGCTTCGCATTGCCATCCGAACGGTGATGATGACGATGTTGCTCTCGGCGATGTGAATGTTGCTGATGATAGTAATAATAATAATAATAGTAATAATAAGAATAAGAATAATAATAATAATTATAATAATAATAATAATAATGGTGATCATGATGATGGTGATGGTGATGATGATGGACGACGACGACATCAACGAGGATGATAATGATGATGATAATGATGATTGACGACGACGAGACGACGACGATGATGGCGATGATGACAATGATGATGATGATGATGATGATGATGATGATGATGATGATGATGATGATGATGATGATGATGATGATGATGATGGTGATGGTGATGGTGATGGTGATGGTGATGGTGATGGTGATGGTGATGGTGATGGTGATGGTAATGGTGAGGACGAGCACCGTGTCCAGGTTGCGTGGCCAACTCGCGCTGCTCACACTTGCGATTCCCCCATTTCTCTTATCCTTCTCTGGCCTGCCTCTTCGGAGGTAGCCCATCCCCCCCCCTCGCCCTCGCACGGCACCGCGGACCTGGCCCTCCCGGGCAGACCGACACCCCACTCCCCAGCACCGGCCCCTCACCCCCCCGCCGTGACGTTCCACACGTGCTTTGGCAGCACGGAGGTTGCGTCGAATCTCGCCACGCCGCCGTGCCTGATGGTCCTCTGCACCTGCGGTGCAGGAAGGCGGCGGGAGACAGAAGGTGGCAGCCCGGCCCGCCCGGCGGCCGGACAGGCTCACACGCCCAACGGGCTCGAGAGAGAAGCCGAACGGGCAGTCGGGGAATATGGTCTGGGGGTAGGCGGTGCCATCCGAACCCGACCCCCACCCACCATCAATTCTCCTGAGGCAGGGGAAGGGCTCGGATTTCGCGGCGTGTTCAACAAATTCCGAACCCTACCCCCGCCGCCCACCGTTACGTGTACGCCTTCCGCAGACTTGCGTGCACGAGCGTCCGTGTTCAAACGCAGTCCCATGGAAACTGTCCACGTACGTATGAAGGGGCCCTGGGACACACAAACAAATAGACACAAATAACAGGATTTCCTATGTTTCCCCATGTTTTCCGGGTTTCTGTCTTCCCCCCCACTTCCCATATTTTCCAATATTTTCTGGGGAATCGACGAATAATTGTGTCTGTGTGTTTTTTCTCTCCTGAACGTGTACATTTTTGGTCGGCCTGTGACACTGGGCTCAGAGTACTCCACGCCCGCGGCTGGTGCAGAGCAGCGGCGAGCTACGGGAAACAGGCCGCGCACCGAGCGGCAAGCCCGCTCGGCGCCGAATCAGAACGTAGGACTTGCAAGGATTCGCTGAATTCGCTTGCAATAAATCAGGACATGTGCTTCTGAGGCATCTCGGCGGTGCCTTCGAACAAGGATCAGATCGCGGCAAGTAAGCACGTGACAGCATGCTCTTTTCTATCTACACACTTCGAGTAGGAGGTCGATCTTAGATTTGAAGGGAGGGGAGGGCTGGCAGCGCGCCAAAGGGGCGAGGTGAGCCAGGGGCTGCCAAAGCGGCCCTGGATTGGCACGGCCCACTGGCTCTGGTACCTTGAACACGTGATGCCTACCCTGCTCACCGTCCTACCGATGCCTATGCATCGTCACTCCGATGCCAAGCATCACCAGGTCGATGCCTCGGCATAGGTCGATGCCTAGGCACAATTCACGCCCAACTAAATTCAGCTACGTCCATGGCTCGAGCGCATTTCTCTATTTTCGGCGACAACGGGC